CAAAATCCCAGGCCTCTCCTATAATATCACATTGTCGGTCTCATAGTTCAATACACTGTCTTCACGCATTTCATGTGTTAGTGAGTGAGTTTGATTTTATGCCGCTTTAAGCAATATTCCAGTAATATCGTGACGGGGGACACCAGAAATGGGCTTCACACATTGTACCCATGTCGGGAAACGAACCCGGGTCTTCGGCGTGACGAGCGCCCCTCATGTGTGAAGTGTCGCGTTATAATGTTTAATCCATCGCATACATTAATTTCAAGTATGACGTTTTCGGAAATTAAAGGTTTAATCAGTCATCTAACGTGTATTCAACATGTATGACGTTTGGGGAGATAGCATTAGGTTCATCAGTCGTCTACGTGTATTTCAACATGTGTGACGTTTTGGGAAATATCATAAGTTTAATCAGTCATCTAACGTGTATTCAACATGCATAAGTTTAATCCATAGTCTACGTAGACAATGAATTACAGTCTTATGTTATTTCGCGAAACGTGATACATGAAATACCCATATTCATGGATTCATTTTCAATATATTTTCTGAAACGTCATACATGACATACTTGTCGATGGTGGATTTATCCTATGATATTTCCCGAAACATCATAAATGTTGCATAACACATATTGATTATGCTATTTCCCAAAATGTCATGCATGAAATACACATAGACAACGAATTTTTATCTTATGCTATTTCCCGAAATGCCTGAAGTCGATGGATTTTCTTCTAACGCTTTTTTCCGAGAGGTCATACACATTGAAATACACGTGAAGGGTGGATTAAACTTATGATGTCTCAAATTTAATTCATGTTTGACAGAGGGGCGTTGGGGTAGCCTAGTAATGAAATCGTTGGCTCGTCACGCCGACGACACAGGTTCGATTCCCCACATGGGTACAATGTGTGAAGCCCATTTTCCGGTGTCCCCAGACGTGATGTTGCTGGAATATTGCTAAAAGCGGCGTAAAACCATATTCACTTATGTTTGACAGTTCGGGAAATGAAGCCATCGGTGGTGTGTATTGTCTTCGTGAAATAACATGAAATGAAGCCATCGGTGGTGTGTATTGTCTTCGTGAAATAGCATGAAATGAAGCCATCGGTGGTGTGTATTGTCTTCGTGAAATAGCATAAAATGAAGCCATCGGTGGTGTGTATTGTCTTCGTGAAATAGCATGAAATGAAGCCATTGGTGGTGTGTATTGTCTTCGTGAAATAGCATAAAATGAAGCCATTGGTGGTGTGTATTGTCTTCGTGAAATAGCATAAAATGAAGCCATCGGTGGTGTGTATTGTCTTCGTGAAATAGCATGAAATGAAGCCATCGGTGGTGTGTATTGTCTTCGTGAAATAGCATGAAATGAAGCCATCGGTGGTGTGTATTGTCTTCGTGAAATAGCATAAAATGAAGCCATCGGTGGTGTGTATTGTCTTCGTGAAATAGCATGAAATGAAGCCATCGGTGGTGTGTATTGTCATGTGAGACCTTTCGTGAAATAGCATAAAATGAAGCCATCGGTGGTGTGTATTGTCATGTGAGACCTTTCGGGAAATAGCATAAAATGAAGCCATCGGTCGTGTGTATTGTCATGTGAGACCTTTCGGGAAATAGCATGAAATAAACATCTATTGTCTGAGTGAATTTCATGTAAACAGGTATCAGTTCGAGATAAATCAATCAATACCTTTATTTCATGAATGACGTTTTGAACAAAATCTACATGTATTTGATTTATGACATTTTGGGAAATAGTATAAAATGAATCCGCGTCCTTGTGCATTTCAACTTGACGTTTGGGGTAGTGGGACAGACGATAATCCATCGACTCCGTGTTTTTCATGTATGCCATTTCGGGAAATAGCATAAGGTATATACTTCAATAAAAAAATTCCTATCCGTATAGGCACTACTAATGACTGTCAGTTTCCCACTGTCATTCTATGGCATCGATGTTCATATACAACCATAGCTCGATATCCTTTGTCATAATATTTAATGTAAAAAAAGTATATATGTTAAGGTACAACTTATCAATTTTGGACTTTTGAAATCTCTTTTACCATCTTCTCGTCGGTACCCTTGTCATCAGAATTGCATTATTAAAGATAATATCAAAAATTAATACAATAATTACGAGATTCTAGTGCATTTTCATTAATAATAGCAGCACGAAAAAAGGTCAGGACGCACTTACTTCACAGACAATAACGCCACGCCCATTTACCATGTTGTGACAACAAGTACAGACGTTGTGAGAGCATCATTTGCCAGCAAGGCCTTGCACAAGTCACAGCAGCATGCTATTGATTGTGGTGTACTTGGGATAGTGAACGCTGGCAACGTGCAAAATGATTTCATAGTGCAAATGATAGCCATAAACAGTCTATAGAGTGCACTAGGGCACGAGAATTGTCCCTTGCATCTTGAAATCTAATTGCCAGTCAAAAGAATAATATGGCTGTTTCAGATGCAGTTACAGTTTCAGATGGTAGATGGAACACGTTCCACTAAAGATTTTCTTTTTATGAAGATGGACTGGTTGATTAAATATGATGTTTTGCGTGTCTGTTGCGGCAATTCGATGTCGTTTATTGACTAAAGGCAGCAGTTACGTATGGCTTTAAGCCGAAATATGAATTTGGGGATATTGCACGAGTGTCTAAGAAGATGATGAACTGAAATAGTCGATGATACACTAACTGGGATAGTGCAGCATCATGTATTAAATCTAGTCACTTGATTGAAAAATGATGTTATTTCAATATCTGAGGAAGTAACAAGATTAACTTTTTGATGTTGCAAATATGACAAAGTGACCATATTTTCCTCTGGAAATTATTACTGTTTCTTGTAAAAAAGGCTATCGAGAAGTTTTAATTGCTTACAGAAAATCATGCTATAAATCAGAGCTGTGAGAGTATCCTGTACCAGTCTACCTGTGTGAATGTTAGGTTGCTGTATTGGTGTCAGTTGGATACCTGCTTCATACAAATTTGGAATTATATAGCCCCTGTAGCCACCCAGGGGGGAAGCGTTCATTTAACTAGATTTCTCGAAGATTGCTAAAGTTAGAATAGCAGGAGTGAGTGAGTTTGACATAGCGCCCTTTTTTAACATTATTTCCGTTTGATATGGGAGGAAGCCCGAAGTGATGCAAACTATAGTATACTTTCCCACTTTGGTGAAATACAGGAACATGATTATGGTGCTTACAAACCAAGAAACATAAATATGGCGAATCTGGGAATCAAACCCACGATCACGCCCGTGGGACTCGCGCAACCCTACAAGCGAATGAGGGCGCCTGAGGCCAATGCTAATTTAGTCACTATTCTGAGACATATTTATATATTTCCAATATGGTATATTGCTGATATATTTTGTTTGTTGTGATACGATATTTATCGCGCTAAATAGGTTCGAAATAGTTGTAGTGTGTACAATGTAATGAACATTCTAGTCTTCAAACGATCTGATTTTATATGATTTGCAAATCAAATACTTTTGCGTCAAGGCTTGTATAAAACGACCCTCTGTTTCTACGTACATGTATACCTTTCGTTAAATCCAGACATAATCTTACCAAGATGTCTGAAACAGCTGTTTCACATGTAATGCCAAGTTAGGCTTCCCCCGTCGGCTGTACAGAAGTTTCTTATTGATTTAGGCGTTAACAAGCATTCACCCACTCATGCGCTCGTATTGTACGATGAACGTCAACAATCATCTGCAGCAGTCGGTACAACATCAGAAAAAACATGCTAAGGGAAGGCCCACATGAAATCGTAAACATATTAACGCATGAACGTTAATATTTGCATCCCTGATAAATGTTGCAATATATAACAGTAACATACCACGATGCTTGTTAAATATTGGACTTGACAAATACAAGCTTTCTTTTGTGTAACCCCTCACCGTTATGAAGGCTAATCACCCCACATTCAGCGAAGCGCCCTCAACTATCGTCTCCTGTTCTGGATGTTTGGACGCAATCTCAAACCCAATGACCGTGTAATTACCTTCTCCAGTCGATAGCAGAAACTCTGAAACCAATTGAGACATCCATCGGTGTACACGGGCCTCCTTGAGTTTCCCATGTTGATTTCTCCGGAATCTGCCAATATGTCCACATATCCGTTGCCACTAATAAAAGGTTTGATGTGTGGTCAATATATGTATAATTCATCTGTATGTTATGATGAACATAGACTCGTAAGAAACACGAGGTCAATGTAATGAGCATACAATAGCCATCATAATAATATTTCAAGGAAAAGAGAAATCGAGATTTTAAAGGGGTAAAACTGTTGGAGAGATGTGTGGTGGTACTATTAACAAAGCACGTAGTTCCTGAATTATGATTTATGTTTTATGCCATTGTGAAGGATTTGGAATTGATTAGTTGTTCATTTTACCAAACGATTTATAGGTTTTGAATACATAGTCATTTTGCTTTTAGGAGTTAGTGAATGAGGTGGACATAACGCCGCCATGATCAGTATGCCAAGTATTTCATATAGCAGAGAATGAATCAAGAGTTTACTTGTTTTTCAAAATAAATGACGTTTCAGGAAACAGCAGAAGGTGAATCCATGAATGTGTGTATTTCAACATGTATAAAGTTTTGTAAAAATCGTAAGATGAATCCATAAGGTACTTGCATTTCAAAATGTATGACGTTTCGGGTAATAACACAAGATGATTCCACCGTCTACGAGTATATCAGCTTGTATGACGTTTCGGGAAATCATCTTAACATGGCAAGAAAAACCAAACCGACACAGGTCAAATATTTTTTTCCACTTCTAACACACGTAACTGCCTCTGGTTTTAAGATACAAAGAAAATTACAATTTAAGTCTTGCTTCCTGTAATTTGTAATTTATCAAGCACCGCTACTTCATTATATGTTCTGAATTCGTGTCGTCATTTTTTTAAATGATGGTGATTTTTAATGAGTTTTCTTTCCTTTCATTTCACAGGTTACTGGTTGTGTTACATCAACAGCACCATCAATCCACTATGTTACGCACTATGTAACGTCAACTTCCGCCGCGCGTTCTGGAAGATCCTTACGTGTCGGTGTGTTCCAAAACGAGGCTCCATTCATCAAATGATGATCGCACCCATCCACGCCACCAAGTTCATTCCAAGATGAAAGAGAACAGGAAGTCGTCTGGTTTTAAAACGTCTTGCCATTGGCTCATTATGTGGTTGCCATGGTGCACAATGAAGGTCACATGACCAATGTCTTCCCACCGAGAAGTCAAGGAAACAGTCAGGAAAGTTGAAGGTCTCTTGACATGTCCATGAAGAAAGGGTGATAACTCTTATATTCAGGAGGTATTTAACCTTTCTACACCTGAAAGTTGTTGGGTAATTTACCGGGGACGTCAGTTGTGGATGACGCCCTTTAAGAAATAAGGCAATTTGTTGTTTTTGTAGTTGCGGTGTAACAACACAAATTTAAAGCAATCAATTTTATATAACAACATTGTAAGACACCGGCAGATTTTTATTGTCTGGTGCTGGACTTGGAATGCATGTTTTGTGAGACTGCACAGCGTGAGCTTAATGTGTGACTGAGCTGAATATAAGTATACATATCCACCTACAATATAGTCATCACAATCACAGTTAGTGCAAATATGATATATGATTTTATGCCATGTTTTCATTTTCAAAATATGTTGCAATAATTCGTATAGTTTTTCCACAAAAGTGCTAATAAAGTCACATTTGAAATGGCTTACAATGAAGTTTGCCATTGTTGTATATACAGAGCTCAGTCGGGCAAAGTAGTGCTTTTCTACAGTTTTGTATCTGAATCGATATTTTGTGTTTCCAAAAATGCAATACATGTACAGGTTTATCAATGTTTTTTCCTTATAACCCTTATTTTATGATTTGTTCAAAACTGGGAAATATCTCATTTCTATTTCATTCCTACACTGATATATCTGATGGGTATACTTCACATTGGACAAAGTAGGAAAACCTCAAAATTGTGTTTGGTAATAATAATCGATTGCTTCACATTCAGTGTACTTGTTGGCCAGCATAGCTTCTTCAATACTGTGTTTGAGGCATTATTGTAAACAATCATGTGAAAATGAATATGATTCATAGTCATCACCTTTTCTGTGACGAAGGAGTATTTTCTCTAGACAAAGGCGTATTTTGAAACAATTTCAACAAATAGATATAACAGTGTATTTGATATATTTTGTCTTCATATTCATAGTTGCAATATAGAGCTATAAAGACGAACCGGTACAAGTATTACAAAATATTGCCAAAAGCTGTGTAAGATATTGTGCATATTATCTGCAATACAGATTAATAGTCATATTTGTCTAATTTTGCAGTTTCTTTACATCATTATGGGTGTATACGGAATTCCATATTAACACTGCTCAGTACAGAATGGAAAACAAAAAACTCAAGCATTAGTTATGTGTTTTTTATTGGTTGCAGACAAGCGATATTTAAAAGGTGTTTGGAAGTGGGCGGATAGCCCGAAAAACATTTTGATGAAACCTTTCATGAATACTCCATCAATAGAAGTGATCGCATAGTGTGACCTTGGTCACTCTTTTGGTATATTGATTGTTATTATTTGTTATGTGATTTCAGATAAAACGTATTAAGATCAGGAGCAATGTTTCAAAGGTAAATTTTGATTTCCCAGGTGAGCTTTGTTTAATCATAATTTAAAATAGTGAGTGAGTGAGTGAGTGAGTTTGGTTTTACGCCGCTTTGAGCAATATTCCAGCAATATCACAGAGGGGGGCACCAGATATGGGCTTCACACATTGTACCCATGGGATTCGAACCCGGGTCTTCGGCGTGACGAGCAAACGCTTTAACCACTTAATTTAAAATAATTTCAATAATGACAAGATAACATTATCATAATAATAGTAATACCACGAGGAAAAAAGAGAGTCTCCACCGTGTTAAAAAATAACGATTACTTTGAATTTTTACCGCCCCCTCCCGCTACACACTCCATTCGCCTGAAATATCATAATGTACAGTTATCCATTTGCAATGTTATGAGTATGCTGAGAGTATGTGTTTAGTAAAATATATATACACTCATATATAAATATATATTAATAAATGGGAGAATATTTGACCATGAGAAGTGGGTCATTTTGAACAGCGAGAATCGTCACTGCATATATAGCATCATGTTCATGGTCAACAATAAAACATTTACAATGATGTTTGGTTACTGTTTTCATTATTTTCAGTATGAAGCGAAGTGGCGCTACCGTACGATTGCTTCTTTCCGGAGTCACGTCCTTTGATTCGCTGACAATATATATTGTTGTATAAAGAATTAAATGCTTACTGTCAGAAAAGGTAGTCAAATATCATGAGTACTAAAGCAGTTCAACGATAAATGAAACAAGCAATGGTACGCGTGGAGGATAAAATCGCTTCCATAACAGGGTAACACAGACTATAATAATTAATATGTGCCCGATTTCTCATCAGTGGGAATATATATGTATATATATATATATATATATATATATTTGTGGCCCATAATGTTGTCATTATTGCTGCAAAACGTCCTGCATTTAAACATAAAAAATCGCATTCACCATGAAAACTAATATGGTCAGTTCAGTTGAGTGTGAACATTTGAAGCGAACTCACCTTTCCTTCTTGAAAAAAGAAAATTTGTTGGTACCTTTTTCAGGATACTCATATGTTCTTATAGACATGAATTTGAGCTGAGTTCAAATAATCGTCTAAAATGTTAATAATGTGGCATCAATGGCATCACACCTCTTTTAATTTCACATAAAATCTCCTTCACACTGTCGATTAACATCTTGTCTATAAACTATAACGAAACGTGATTACAAAGGCAATTGCCTCCTAATGACGCCTTGAAGAGTTATCTGCCCTCTGTTCAGCCTTCATCTCGTGCTCTTGTAATTCTATTACGCTCAGTAATCCATAGGCCACGACTTTGTCTCCGCATCCTTGCAATATGTGCAGAAGCATCTGATCCACGTGGATGGCCGTGAGGTACAATTAATCTACTTTTACGTGGGATGTAATCAAATTTGGACATTGGTTAACTCCTACAAGGTGTAGACTAATTTCAGTTAATTTGGACGTGCCTGTTCTTTAGTATGTCAGTGCAGACAATGCTGGAATATTATGGGCGTTTACAGGGGATGGGTGTAACGTTCATTGTCTTCATCTGAATCATGTGAAATAAGAATCTGTTTGCAGGTGGACAGTGCAGGTGCAGGAAACATTATGTGCAATTACTACAGCCTTTGCTTTGAATGTATCAGTCCTTGAATGTGTGGCTTAAAAGTCAAAGTTGGGCATAACGTTGCTATATCTAAAAATAGCAATTCATTTGAGAAGACCAGCATTTATTTCATTAACAGATATATAAAATGTATTCACGTTTTTTTAATGTGCGTCGTTTATTGCGGCCCTCAGCGATATTCCAGCTACATGACAGCGACCAATAAATATTTGATCCTGGACCAGACAAACAAGAAAGTATATGAACATGTTATATACATGTATAATACACGTGAAATACTTTCATCTATTATATGTTTCTTTGATGAAGCAGTGACACTACATCCTATCTAAGTGGGTGTGTATGTGTGTGTAAGTGTGTTTTTGTGTGTGTGGAGGGAGGTGCATGAATATGTTATATACATTTATAATGTGTATAGTCACGACAATTTCGATCAAACCCTTCATCTATAATATGTTTCTTTCGAGACGTAGTGACACAACATATGCAGTGAGGTCAGCGGATTGTAATAATTCACCATCTTCTGGTCATCCCCAATCAAGAAGAAACGTCAATAGTATATCAAGGTGTAATACCGACAGTAAACATATAACACAAATACAGTTAAGATTTTCAATCATACACAGTTATATATGTGGATATGGGCACTGGTATCCAAGTACGATGAACTATACAAACAATGTACTTTCAGTTCATCTCCGTACAGTATACATATTGCGTATTAAAAGATCAACATTAAGGTGTTTTTTTAGATTTGCTGGTGTTCTCCATCGGATCCAAATGAAATTCCTGTGATCGAGTATTCAATAACACCCCCCCCCCCCCCCCCCCACCACCCACCCACAAACACACCCACTACACACACATACACACACGCACACGCCCCCCCCCCCCCCCCCCCCCTACACACACACACACACACGCACACGCACATGCTTCCCCAGCTTGACCACGAAATGTTGTTCGACATTGAAACTTACCCAAGTTAACAGTATTCTTTCACAGCATGGGCTCCCTACACCCTACGTGATGTCTCCCAGTTGTGAGACAGACACTCCGCAATGCTACGACGCCATGATACAATGAATAACGTCACCTACTTCCTTGATAACTGACAAATCATGGTTAGCAGCATGTGGAAAAATCGAAGTTGTTCTTATTAGTATTAATCAAATTTAAGATTTAATCAATTTCGTATCCATTTCGGCAAAGCCGAATTGCAAGTTTTGTTTGAAATTTGGGATTATGATAAAAAAAATGTTAAAAAAGAATATGCATATGAAGTGAAAAGTTTATAAGTGAAAAGTGACAATTTTGTTCAAATAATCAGATCTATCATATACTCTAAAAACAGGTGCTTCATGGTAACATTTTGAGTGAGTGTGGTTTTACGCCGCTCTTAACATTATTCCAGCGGTATCATGGCGTTTGACACCGGAAAGGGGCTTCACACATTGTACCCATGTGGGAAATCGAACGCGGGTCTTCTACGTGACAAACGAACGCGTTAACCATTAGAAATCCCCAACCGTCCTTTAATATGTTGAAATAATCGCCAAGACCAGATATATTTCAAGCATACATATGTAATCAAACATCTTTCATAATGGTGATGACTAAAGACAACATATATGCTGACAATCACCAGAACACAAATACACTACCGATATTGATCAATACGCCGCTGAATGTCTCCTTCAAATAGAAAACTTATTGGAAATCTGGTCCGCACATGCTAGGCCGCAAAATAAGGATGCAGGGTTTAGCTCTTCACCTTGTCAAGTCTTAATCATTTTAAGGCTCAGTTTCTAGGCGTCTGTCGTCGACAGTAAAGAGCTTTGCGACAGCTGTTATAGCACGGTTCAAGTCAGAGTGCTGGTTTATTCGTATGTTGTGTTATGTAAACACAATGTGCATTGGAATTTGAAACTAACTGAAATTTCAAACAAATTATGACATATCTGTGACATTGAGTAACTTCCGAACCGATTACCGAACCACGTATCTCAATGTTAGACTAGAAGCCACACATTCTGAATCGCATGTAGGGATTCTTATAGTTTTGATATATGTGTCAAATAGACATCAAAGTAAGAACGTCTTTTGCTGGTCCAGAACGGCATTGATTCATATAAAAATATATCATTTACAGTTTTGCTTGAAAAGGGTATAAGGATCTATACCGAAACGTCGCCTTTTTTTGATTGCAGAGTCCATTTTACTATTCAGACTTTATCTTAAAAACACATGAATCACAATCAAATAGTGAGGATACCGGGACGTTTCCTGCCCCACCAGTTGTACCCGTCACAAAGTCAAGTGTTCACCTGATCAAGCAAGGCAACATACTGGATAAGTACAAACAGGAAATTGCCTCGGACATCCTTTAGTTATGGTCACTGAATGCGTCACATTTGGAAATGACTACCATAAAACGTTTGAAAGCTTCACTAAGATCCTGATGAAACAAGTTTTGAACAAGAGTCGTATGTCACACTTTGAAATCTTTGCAGAAAGCAAATTCTGCGTTGAACTCAAAATCGAAATGTAGATACGACAGGCTGGAGCTGCTGGACTATTGCTGGACACAAAGGAAAGAGGACTATTAGGAAGTCTTGTGGATAGCGTAATGTTACTCTTAATTTCATGCAATGATCTAAATATGAAACAGATGAGGCGGTTTTACTGGTCTCTTTTACTTCAGGTTGGTAAATCATGGAGTATCACGCAAGACATTTCATGAATATGTTTAGATTGACACATTTGGATGAGGTTTACGATATGGGTTAAACCCCTGAACACAGATATGGTACTTACCGAATCGTTCATAATCGGATTGGAACCCATAACTACCAGATGATGCCGTGACCCTGTATACCGTTTGTATTATATTCGTTGATGAAATAAACACAATCTGTTCCAGTAAACATATAAATGATTATTTTGGATGTACAGATTTTGACACTTTGCGAATAAGTGATACATGATATCACGACGAGTCAGAAAATAGAGCAGATACTCATTTTATGATGCGAACTTGTTCTCCTTTAAGGCTTGACAGAAGTATGCTGCGTGGTGTAGGGAGTACGGGAGGTGACTGAAAAGTTCTGAGACTAACTTTGATGGACAAGGTTGATGAGGTTGGCTGCTTATTAGTTTTCAACATAATCCCGTCGGTTTAGATAGGCTCTGGCTGATAGTAGCTTCCTTCATGGTTAAAAATCAGCTGGGTCTCCTTCAAAATGACGTAAATTCACACGAGAGATAGAGAACCTGGAGCGTTTCTGATCAGGAACCTGAAGCCTTGGAACCCAGCGTGCAGAAACCTTTGTCATGCCCAGTTCATTCCTCAGAGTGTTAAAACTCTTTTATGAGATATACCTATATATTGGCTATGTGACGTGTGGTGAATGGTCAAGATCCATAATCATATCATGTATTTTGTCAACATGAACCTTATTGTTGGAGAGTTTAAAGTTTGCCCACTTCTAAACAGTGCGCATCGGAAAGTACCATTTTCCCTGAAGTTGACACCATGATGAATGTCGGAGTTGGAGACATTTCTGTTGGAGATACATTGTACGGAAGCCACAAATGTCCTTTTTCATCAAGAGAGAGTGTTCAGTCACTGTGATGCCTGCAGAAATATGCTGGTTGTGTATTTTGCATTCAAATACTGCCTGTAAGTATGGGGTATAACGTACTTTTGCAAACGGTTATACAGCCTTACAGTCACACCTTACAGCCATACCTCGTACCACATAGAACCTCAGCGGGACAACCGATGGACTGATTCAGTAAGAGAACCACATGCTCTGGTCCAATTACCAAACTGGCGTTGACCATATAATTATAACTAGCATAGCCTGTATACGACCTCCAACTTAATTACTCATGGGGCTTCCGTTCATCAGTTTGTCAAACT